AATTAAAAAACGCTAAGGCTGGAATATCACTCTTCACGCGATGGATGAAATGGATTCTTTGCCCGGCGCTTGAATTTTTTATTTTCATGGTCACTTGGCTCGGGTTTCATCCCCCGTACTCCTACGTTCCATTTCTCCAGTTCCGGAATTTCCTGGATATTGCTTGGTTGAGTACAGGTTACTGAACATGAGGACATGAAGCCAGTCTCGTTCAGCAACTTACACACTATGAAACATAAGGAATTGACTTGTTAATACTAGACTACGAGTAGTTCCCCATTTTTCCTCAGGGATAGTAGAGCGAGCGAAACGCGAGCGCCCGTGAAAATCACCCCACGCGAGACAATCACCGCCGCGTGTCGCCTTTTCTCGCGTAGGCTGATTTTCACGCGCTCGCGCTTCGCTCGCTCTACTATCCCTGAGAAAAAATGGGGGACTACTCGTAGTCTATGTTAATACCGGCAACAAACCCCGGGGATACTCCCTATAATGGCCTATACAAGGGGGGCTCCGCCCGAAAGGGGTACCTTTTTTACTTCAGGTATAAGAGAGGGTAGGGAAGGTTGAAGCTTCCTAAGGTGTGTGAAAGGGTTGGGAAATCAGTCATTTCGTTTTGTAAGAAGCTCCAAAACTGGCTAATAGATGCATTTCATGGCTATGAAGAAGTCGAGAAAACTTTCTGGTGATTTACTTATAGTTAAAGGACAGCGCATTTACAGCGGTTAAAGGGGATTCAAAGTTCTAAACTAGGTATGCCGGAAAGGTGTACAATTTGTCAATAGAAGGTATACGAAAGGGGTACCTCTTCTGCCAAAAATGGCAATTAAAAGGGTGAGGGGCTGGAGCTCGGGGTGGAGCCTTCCGTATAAAACGTTTTTGAGTACCCTCTCAGGGCCGCAAACAAACGAAGCCTTATAAAGAAACGAATTCAGATTTTGCCACATGTGCGGACATCCTGAGTAGTCCCTTTCATTTCAGTGCTCCAATAAGATTGGCCCAAATGGCTACAAACAATCAAGGTCGTTGAGTGGAATTATGATAGCAAAATATTTGATAACCATACCCTTTCGATAAAACGTTTCATGCCTACAACTGTTCTAAAAAGTATCACTGAGTCCTTCCTCTATTTTCGTAGTATTCTATACTAGTAAGCTATTTTCTTTTACATTTTCCGCTTCAACTTACTTCTTTTCAGTTACATAAAACCACTAACTACCACCAAATCTTAAAGTTATCGAAACGTCATGTTTTAAATCGGTGTTAAATTGCATTTAGTTGCTCAATGCTTCTTATTACTGTTACTTACTGTAGTAGGGGCTGTCCGGGTCACACAAAAAGCTGTTGGAACAGTTCTTGTAAACAATCTCCAGTGCTTTGATTTTACCCTCTACCGTCATACATCGATCAAATTCAGGACCACATGTGATAGTCGGGACTGGTTTGCTATCACAACTCTTTTGCCCAGGTACTGGAAGATTTGTACAATCTGGGCACTCAAGGGCAGCAACTGTAAACAGGCAAATAAATTCAAAATAATTAAGCCGAAAAAATCGCACCCAAGCAGGCCGACTTAAATTCAATCATTTCAACTCAACTCGACAAAATCAAGCTGGCGAAAATATTTTGTACCTCCTTTTTTTGAAGATAGAATCTGGTTTCCATGTTTGCCGTGCATACGAGGTCGACTTCACGCAATTAATCTCGTTGTGGAGGTTTTGTTACATTATGGGCTCCTGGTTGGATCTAAAGTCTCCGACATTCTGATCACATCTCCGCCTAGCTAGCCCGCCCATTTAGCGCTCGCGAAAAGCACCAGTCAGTATTCACTAGTGTGGTATATGCTACAGTGGTATGTACTATCCACTGACCAACCCCTCAAGAAGATAAAAAAATTCTAACTGGATTTCGCCGCCTTACACGAGCTTAGTTTGTAAAAGCAGCACAAGCTGTCTGTGGGGTTTGGCATTTACGGCCAACGCTTAATACTTTGGGTTTTCTATGGCTAACGATTAATCATTGTTGAAATCACTAATGGTTGAAAATTTCCGTTTCGGCTGGTTTTCTTGTTTACGTCTGACGACAAAAAAGTTTGGGCTGTTAGTTTATGGCTTACAGTTACTTCTGCTGAGACATGCTATTCAGTGTGGTTTCAGTTTTCAAAACGAGCATTTGTTTCCAATTTTTGTTTGCTTAATTTTACTGTTAAGGCATTCCTGGAGTGATTTTTGGCTATGTACTTACTTATTTGCGAGGCAAATGAAGCTGACCTAACGTAAATGATACACTAATTTGACCGAACGTGCCGTGTTGTTACATACGTTGAGCCGTGAAATCGTAGTAGCACTTGCGAGGACTGAAGCGTGAAGTGTTGAGTTAATCCAAGATCTCCGAGCCTTTGGGACTTATTCTTTTTAACCATGAAGTGATTTAGACGGGAATATAACATAGTCGAATTTGATTACCTACCGATGGACATTATGCACAAAAATGCCATGCTGAACAGGGCCATATTTGAAGCTGCCATGGTTTGTCCTTTCACTCAGCTAACAGCAAGCGCCGCTCTCCTCGCTGTGGAAATGAAGTCAAATATATAACGCGTGGTTTTAATCCACACAATTTCTATAAGCCGTCA